ACGCTATTAAAATAAATAGAATAGAAAATACGTTGAATGTGAGGAACGGTGGTAGAAAGTTGAGTAGGAAATATTTATGCTTGATTGATTCATTAAGAGTGAGGATGTTGAGCCGCCGTCAAAGAAAGGGCGACTCAATTTGTCTGCTTGGTGATGGTTCTAATTTTACTCACACTCGTCCAAAATGTTAGATCAAGCTCATCAACATAATCAGACGGGCCAAAGTGCGCAGCCCCAGTCATGCCTTTCCTCGGGGGATTAAACGTTAATGACCCTAGACTGAGAGGTTAGGGCAAATGGTTTCGTAATTTGACTTAGATGCTTACAAGCTCATATATCATTATCTCAACCATACTTGCTTACGGACCTACGTTTCGGTCAGGCCTTTCGCTTGGGTTATTAGGCCTTGGTGATCAGAGCCTGACATTAGCCTTTTGAAAACTCTGATTTAAGACCGGTATTGCGTATAGACGCCAACACACACACGAACATATTCGAGCAAAAGTAGCAGGACCCGTATGAAGGATAATTAGCCAAACCACTTCATATCTATCTAGGTTTTTTTGAATTGAATATATATAAGAGTTAAGATAGAGCCGGATAGTATTCTCGCCTTAGTGTTAACTTAAGACTTTAACAAGAATGAGTTCCAGCTTTGATGATGTCCATCATATAATAGACAAAAGCTCAACCCGTTTTCACCCGAAACGATAAAGGTCTCGTGAACTGCGTCAACCTGAACGTCGTATAAAAGCCAAACGGCTGCAATACAACGGGATTCAACCGTCCTTTTCTGGTGAGATCGACCTACGAATATCTTTTTTATGCAGTTTCATACGAAATGAAAATCCCCTCCAAAAATACTAGACTAAAACAGCTATTTAAGCACGAAGCTAAATCATAAATAAATCTTTTCCTTTATTCGGAACTTTACACAAATAATATATACTAAAAAATGAGCTAACTCTGTCGAGACAGATAAGTGTAGAGAAGCCAGTAGTCTTCAGCTGGTGTAGAACGAGCATAAACTGAGCAGCATAGATGGCATCACTTGGAGTAAACAAAGCGCGAGGATAGACGCATAGTTGCAGAAACTGAGTGACCATGTCTACCTTAGTTGGCGCAGGGGCTGATGAAGAAGCTGTAAAAGGCGCAGCAGGGGCAGTAGGAGGCAAAGCAGAATTTCCTTCCAGTTGATTAATTGAGGAAGTAGAGTGCCATGCAGAAGATGAGGCCGGTTGAAACCAGCTATCGTGCTCGGCAGCAAGCCATGCGCGGATGCGCGATACATGAACCCGGCGGACAGCAAGTTCATCAGTTAATCGATCGAGAAGTTGTTGGCATCGATCTACTTCACTGGATTTTTTTGCAGATGTCTTTAGATTCACAAACATGCATAAAATCAGGGACAGAAAAGAAAAATGGTAAAAAATTGAGGATAATAGGATATAGTATTATCGAAAGTCGAGTGCAAAATAGTATGGATACTATCGTAAATCCTCGCAAAAGGCTTATTTCATACAAACAAATAACCAAATAAAAATAAATGTGATGAAAATATTGATTGAAATCATTTTGATAAGCATAATTATTCGATTCCATAGCATAAAGAAAATTTATGCAAAATTGGACGGAAATATCTCTGTTGATAACAGCACAGAGCTGCTATACACAAAAAAAGCCATGTACTGCTTGCTAAGGGAAACCTTCTTGATACTATCTACTTGTAGATATGGAGTTAGGATAAAGGATTTGTCATATATATGAAACAAGAGTTTCTTAAGAAAAAATTTACAATACTCGTTCAGTTAACCTGACTTTATTCGATAATTAAAAGCAAGATAATTAGAGTTGGAGAAATAAATATCCTTAACACTCTTTTAAAGAACTTCGGAATATGCATAGTTTTTACCAGAATCAATAGGAATAAGGTGCAAACCATCAGTATTTTTTATATTAAACATAATTCATAGTATAAAGGTTTTTGTCGATTCATTAGCACGTAATGGTTAGGATAAAAGGTAAAAGATATGAGCCCCACAGTTGTCCATAGTATCTGCAATAAGCCCACGAGAAGACCAATGAAAAATTCATCCAAGTGGTGATTAGTTCGTGAAAGATGATAAAAACGTTTCACTCCAAAAAAGTAAAATATCATGGCGACGAAAAATAGACCTGAATAAATCTACTCAATATTCACGGTGAGAGTAAAATTTAGCCATGAATTATAAGGATAAGACATAGCTAATGTTTATACTTGGCTTCCAGGTAATGAGAACACAATCAGCTCACGGATACTTATTATTCGGTCATTAAATTAGCATCTAAATCCGGATTTCCCAAGTCTCTATATGTACTTACTTCTGCCAGATGAAACGAACAAAGTAGATCTAATGTTGGAGTACCTTTCATTTCGTTCTAAACCCAGTTTTCCCACTAAGAAGATGGATCTATTTCTTTAGTTTAGATTTTCATCGAATATTTATTGATAATTTATTTTAAGTTATGATAGCTTTGGAGGGTTTTAAAAGTTTTAAAAGAAATCTTCTCCCTTTCAAATTAATCAAATCAAGGACAGAAGGATAGTCTAGTGAAGTGGTTCCCAAACTTTTCCTTGTCGCGGCGCCCTTTTCAATTAAAATTTTTCCATGGCGCCTTACCTTAAGTATGACTATTCGTAAGAGATAAAAATAAATAAAACTCGTGTATCTTCATTATTTTTTTATTTTATTAACAATAAATTAATATTAAATAATTAATGTGATGGATGAGCCTGCAAATCGCTGCACATTTTCTCAAATCATGAAATTAAACTAGACACGGCCACCCTCATTTCCATTTCCACGTTGATTTTTGCCGACTTGCTCTTTATTACAGCGACCGCCGAAAACCCAACTTATCGAAATTTTCATTTTGGAAATATTTTACAAACCAGTTAATTAGCTGTGATAAGTGCTCC